AGAGAAGAGCAACAAAGATGATTAGGGGACTGGAGGCTAAAATAAATGGTTGCAGGAACTGGGTATGTCTAGTTTAATGAAAAGAAGGACTAGGAGAGACATGATAGCAGTCTTCCAGTATTTCAGGGGTTGCCACACAGAAAAGGGATTATCCATTTGTCTGAAGGGGTGTAGGGTTTCCTGCCTAAGCAGCGGGTTGGACTAGAAGACCTTCAAGGTCCCTTCCAACTCTGTTATTCTATTCTACTCTAAAATTGGCCCCTTCCCAGTTTCTTTGTCATTGGTGACTTTATGTAAAGCAACCAATGTACCAACAAAAGAGAATATTTGGTAGCTCAGGCTTGAAATGAGGGCTCCTTGGTGCTCTCTGAACTTGGCTGTTTTCATGCAGACATTTCGTCACCCAAACTAGGTAACATCATCAGTGCTAGTAAGGAGTGGGGTTTGCTCTCAGTTTATATTCTCACGGCTTGCCCATCAGCATTGACAGACCAACACTTGACGTCCTTGAAGTTCTCTGAGCTTGGCTGTTTTCTTGCAGATGTTTCATTACCCAAGTAGGTAGCATCACAGCACTGATGATGTTAGCTAGTTGGGTAATGAAAAGTCTGCAAGAAAACATCCAAGCTCAAAGAGAAAACAATGTTTCAGGCTACCCAGGTAATTGTAGACGCTAATAATTTTGTACATTTCACTTTTTAATTACGTTGGATAGCACTTGGAGATGTTTTGAAACTTTCTTCTCTTCCCTTTCTAGTCTTCTGGGCTAGAAGGTGATGTTTGTTAAGAAATCAAATGTAATTTGTTGAAAATTGGATTAGGACGAAAGTGTTTCAGAAGATACTGGGTGGGTTTGAAAGAGTTTCTTTTTCCCAGACTGCAAATCTCGGTTATTTATCAGAAAATCAGCTTAGTTCCAAAGTGGGTAGATTTGCAAATAAACCCTTCCTCGTGAAATGATAGTAAGAACTTGGTTTTAAAAGGAAAAAGAAGTAACTGTTAGTTAGATTGAGAACTGCTATTTGCAATAACAATATGTTTATCAATGATGGACACAATCTCACTGCAATTGCTCGAATATATTTCACAGTTGTTTTTTAAAAAAAATGTATCAAATGCATCCAATATTGAACTTAGATTTTTTTTTTCCAAATTTCAGATATTGCCACCGTTAATTTCACTCAAGCCAACTTATGCCAGGTATATCAAAATCTTTGCATTAATGGACGCTGCATCCCAACTCCTGGAAGTTACCGTTGTGAATGCAAGAAAGGGTTTGAATTGGACATTAGAGGCGAATGCATAGGTATGTCCATCCATCAGATTTATGCCTTGTTCCTTCCCTTCTTTCACTTTTCAGCTGCGTATTTGGTGCTGTCCCAGAAATGTAGTTACATAACATGTGACCACATCTGTGCTCCCTGATTGGGCAGTGGGGTACTCTGCCCGGGAAATTGATTTATTACTGGGCACTCACTGAATCGCCATCGGCACTACCAGAAGCATCTTTGCACCAGCAGCATGGGTTAGAGGAATTAATGTCTTTTTACACTACATTATGGGACAGATCATGGAAAGTCAGAAGAATCTTAATGCTGAACTGTA